ACACCAACCCCGAGGAGATTGAGATAGACTTCGAGACGCTGAAGCCGTCGACGCTGCGGGAGCTGGAGCGATACGTCATGACGTGTCTGAGGAAGAAACCCCGAAAGCCTTACAGTTAGTGAACCTCATAAAACATTGGGAAGAAAATGAATAAGCTGGGTTAGTTGATCTTTGGTTAAAGTTCTCCAGCTCATTGATGTTCTTGTCTTCTGTCTGCAGCGAGTAAGAACAGTGCTGGAAAGTCGCGGGAAGAGCTCGCTCTGGAGAAGCAGATGGAGCTGGAGAGAAGGCTGATGGACGTCAGCGGTCAGCTCAACTCTGGAAAGAAGCCGATGAAGACCAAACGTAAGTCGTCCATGGTTGAAGAGTGAAACTTTATCAACAACGACTAAACTGGTCCCGGTGTTGAAAAATGACCAAAAACTACAGCCATGGAGCATAATGTAGTTTTCCTTGTTTTCCTCTGAACACATCTTGATGTTGTTTTGTTTTCTTCCTCCAGCCGAGAAGCCTGCAGCCGACACCCACACCCAGCCGTCGCGTCTCAGCGCCAGTAGCTCCTCCTCTGACTCTTCTTCATCATCCTCTTCGTCCTCGTCCTCAGACACAAGTGAGTCAGACTCCGGCTGAGAGACAGACTCTTCATATGAAAAGATGTCCCGTTGGACTCTTTTCCCCCCGAGTGGACTGAACTTATTTAAAGCTGCTGACGGAGCTGCAGGAAGGGCTGGCGAGCCCGGCAGAGATGGAGCGTTCCCGGCGCTCAGCTCCGACATGAAGGAGGTTCCTGCTCTCCTCCCTGAAGAACCGGCCTCGGCGGGTGGAGTGAGGGACGCTCCTTCTCCTGCACATAAAGAAGATTGAGGCGTGCGTTGGAGGGATAAGGGTGCTAGAGCCAGAATGTGTCTAATTTCTGGAGATAATTTTCCCTTCTCACCGTGCTCCCTGTCTTTATGCTGTATAGACGAGGTGTACAGTACTCAATACATTTCTTTTATAAAGAAGCATTTTATGGAGCTAATTTATTCCCTCATTGTGGGAACAATGAAACTGGCATGAGCGAAGTCGTTTTTGTTTGTGTTTCTTTCTTTTTTTTCCGAGTGGATAAAGAGGGGAAATATTTGTGTGTGTGTTTCTGTGCGAATGACGTCGTGACGTTCTTCATAGTTTTGACGCAGGCGTTGAAAAAGTGGGTCTGCACACAGAAGCACCTTCAGAACGCATGAGATACAGAGGAGCTGACGAACATCTGCACACATCTGTTGGAGGGGCATGAATGTTTCTGTGTCGGCTGTTTTCTCATCCTTTTCTCTGTAAACGTGTTGCTTTTTCTAATGTGACCAATCTGCTAATAAATTGTGGGGGCGTTTCGTCCTGTGCTCAATAACATCTGTTCCTCTGATTTCTTTAATTCAGTCACAAAAACATCGGATCAGAGAGGTTTTAAATCCAGAAGTTTGTCTTTAAACAATCGGCCTTCGAGATCGACGGCAGCTGAAAGTTTCAGTTTTATTTGACTTTACTTTGTGTGATTAAACTTTAGTACAGCAGGTTAGAGACGGCGAGTTTGTTTTGATTGAGTAGACGCCGACGATGGATTCGTGTTGTTGTGATGATGCACTGTTTCGTTTTGTTTGTACTACTAAACCAGTTTGTGATTTTTAGGGTAAGGTGTGTTTTCTGTTCTTCTGCAGCGGATTATTTATTTAGGAGGAATTTTAAAAAGGAGAAACTTTTCATACTGAAAGCAAACGTTTGTGGACAGGTTACGTGTCGGGATTGTGGAGGTGTAGATAACCTACAGCCTCTGAGCATGTTTTTGTTTCCCTTTGATTCCTTTTTTAAAGTATTTTCAGTCTGAAGTTTGTCAGAACCCTGAAGCCTGTGTACTCCATCGCTTCACCTGAACATCTGTACATAAATAAACTGAGACGTCTTTTCACCGACTTTGGCAACGTTTTATTGACATCCTGAGTTCAAACAACACGACATAAAAAATACATCAAAGTTTTCAGTTCGGTGATCAAAGAGAGGCGCAGATTAAAGTATTAACTGCAGTTTGTTTATTCTTTTGCTGAAAGAACTTTTTAACCCTAATCTGGACTTTTTAAAACAAACGCTCTCATCACAGAGGGGAACAACACACAACTGGAACTGAGCATTAAAATCGAGTTCCTCTGAATGACGTTCTCACAGTGCCTGACTTCATGTATCCTCACATGTGCAGCCTGCATCCTGCTGCAAGCAGTTTTCCTGCATATTAAAAATCCTGAGATTCTCTGACATGTTTATATTGATTATTAATAATTATTACTAATAATAAATAAAAGGGAACAAGAAGACAAAATCCATTTAATACTCCAAAACAGTCCTGCTGCACTGTGTAACCCCACAGACCAGCTGAAACTTCCAAACATGAGTTTTTTGACAACAGATAAAAGTCCAGAATAACACAGAAGATCATTTAAGTATTTGGTGTAATATTTAAAATCTATTCTTAACTTGGGAGTCTTAATAATATTAAACTGAACCTTTTATTAACATTTTATTAATGATATATTTATATCAGCCTTTAAATGTATTCAGTAATGATGCTGACAGCTGGGACAAAAACATGTAAAGATATTTTTGTGATATTTTAATTGGATTTTATGTAAATTAAGGTGTTTTATCTGTTGCAGCCGAATTAGTTTTTGCTTTTAGTCTAGTTTGGCTCATTTTTCATGAAAGCTCCTTGAAAGATGAAAGTGAAAACCAGATGAAGCAGTCAGAAGTTACCAGGCAACAGGATCTCTTCTTGGAAAAAGAGCAAAGAGGACACAGTGAACTGGACTTCAGCACATCGCTGACGCTGCTGATAAATTTCTTTTTCATTTCTCAGGAAAAAGCTGGACTAGAGTTTTTACAGACACTTAAAAGTGCAAGAGTAAAAACAGACAACAGAATTATGACGGAGACGATTGTAAATCAAAACCACGTGTGGCTAAATATATAAATGTTCCTCTAAAGGTTTCTGCAGCACATCAGTGTCAGATTTACTGATCATAAGATATTTAATGAGAATATTTAAATAAATCTACCCAGTAAATGAGGAAAATTAACTATATTCTAAACTATAAACGTTTCTGAGTTCTCACTGCGGTGTAGACTGATGCGTTGAGTGTTTCTTCTTCAGTCATCTTTCTCACTCACTATGTGTTAATAGACCTCTCTGCATTGAATCATACCTGTTATTAACCTCTGTCTCTCTTCCACAGCATGTCTTTATCCTGTCTTCCTTCTCTCACTCCAACCAGTCGTAGCAGATGGCTCTGCCCCTCCCTGAGCCTGGTTCTGTCAGAGGTTTCTTCCTGTTAAAAGGGAGTTTTTCCTTCCCACTGTCGCCAAAGTGCTTGCTCATAGGGGGTCATATGATTGTAGGGTCTACGTTACAATATAAAGCGCCTTAAGGTGACTGTTGTTGTGATTTGGTGCTGTATAAATAAAATTGAATTGAACAGACTGATAACAGAGATTGACTGCCCTCCAGTGGCCACAATACGTATTTACACCACTGGTATCCTGCCACATGTAAATACTTCCGGTATTGTGGCAACCACAAGAGCACCTGGCTTTAGCCACTGTAAGGTGAGGAGCGCCACAGTAGGCGGAAACGTGTGACTTCGACTTTAATAGCGAAAATTAAATTGCGTTTTGACCACATTGACAGAGCAGAGAAAATATACTAGACAACAGATTAAGTTGAAATTATGAGATAAAAACATTTTGCATGTAAAAAAAAAACAAAACAGTTTAGGTTTCAGCAGAAACAACACGTTACACTTTGCATGTAATAGATTTGGGGAGAAAAGTCTTTACAAAAAGATACTTTACAAGATACTTTTGTAACATTGTATGTATTGACATACAATTTAATAAAGGCTAACTAAACTAACTAACTGGGCAATAAAAGACATGAATAAAGTGCAATGTGCAGTAAATGGAACAATTTACATTGATGTTACAGACAGTGAAAAGTAGTGAAGTGAATTTGTTCAATAAGAAGCAAAAAACAAATACATTTGAAAGTGACCGCTACATAGGTGTCAAAAGAACACATTTTTCTTTACTCAAGTAAAAGTATAGATACCTCTGTTTAAAAAGACTCTAGTAAAAGTATTGACTCATGTTTTTACTCAAGTGGAAGTAAAAAGTACAGGCTCCAAAACATACGTAAAGTACAAAAGTATAAAGTAAGGTAAAGTAAAAGTAGAAACAAAAAAGTAGCAAAGTAAAAGACAGACACCCCAAAAGTCTACTACTAAAGTACAGTAACAAAGTATTTCTACTTCGTTTCTTTCCATCTCTGATGCCAACAATAAATCATATTTTAATGCAAAATGTGGTTTAAAGACTCCAGCTCTCTTACTTAAATATTCCCATGTTGATCAGTGTAAGCGGACTTGTTGATTCCTACTAACGGTGAATGACTCTGTTCCAACCTTTACGATCCACTTGCGCGGTTTGCAAGTCACGTGTTTCTGCCTACTGTGGTGGTGACGTGTTTCCGCTTACTGTGGCGCTCCACAGTGGCTGCGCCGGTATTTAAACAGCTGTAAATGACATGTTAGACTATAATCTGTGAAACATGTTATGAAGGAAATTTCTTTGTTAAGAGTGAAATAACAACAAATATAACATAAAAGTGGCCAAAAGTTTGGATTGATTATAATGTAGAAACAATAATCATACAGTCATAAAGTTGCCTAAAAACAGGGCATTTATTTGTTTTGTGTAAATCCTGTTCACTACAGTCTATTTGACATTTTAGGTAAAGACGTTACACATAAAAACATACACAACATTTTTGGTAGACGGTCACTTTTTGGCCCAACACCGGTATCGATTTCAAAATAAAATGCCTGTATTGGCTTTTATTCTTTTACTGATGATGTTGGGTTTTCATTACATTAAACACTGTTTACCTTTTTTCACCGTTTTTTATCGCCGCCTGATGGACAAACCTGAAACTACAACAACAGCAAACTGTCATGGCGGCTGCCACAAGGCTCATCTCAAGGTTGACGCTGGTCACCGGTTAGTTTATGTTTTATTACGGATCATTCACAGAGAAATAAACCCGACCGTTTCTTTTTGTCTCAGATGTTTTTGCTCCGTTAAACCGGGAGAGGTTTTCTCCGTTATCTCCGCAGCTGAAGGAAACTCGCGCTTCATTAAACTTCTCTGCGAGTTCAGAGGAGCTGTGAAGTTTCAGACTGACGTTCAGACTAAGGAGATTTATTTTGTATCATGTGAAGCTGTTCAAAGTATTCAGCAGCAGCTGATTCATATATAATTAGACGCATCTGTGCAGCTCGGTTATTGTTGCCGTGGAATAAACTGACGACAGGAAAGGTGAAAGGATCGTTCATATAGCCCACTCCTTCTTCCGGTCAGTTTCTCTAGCAAATATTCCCAAAGATAACAATACATTATTTTTAATGCACACTAATTAATTATTCAGAGTTTAGGCTGCTTTCAGGTTATAAAGAGATTAAAATTTAGGCTCCAGCTCAACATCTGATGCATAATAAATTTCACCTGTGGAGAAAATGTGAGTTCATATTGTGTTTTAGTGGAGATAATGTTTCTTATTGTAGCTCAGGTTAGTTTCCTGTCATTTGCTCCTCGTGTTCAAGTCATTTGTAGTAAATCGCAACCTTTCATTTTAAAACAGGAAACGCAAACATCAGAAACGTTCATTTCCAGGCAGGCAGCACATCAGCAGCTCCTAAACTATTAAATGTGGATGTTTAATCAGAGCAGGAAGCTTTGAGCGGACCTGAGAGCCCTGCAGTTGTGTTTTCACGACTAACTCTAGTCCAGATGTTTTTGTGGGGACTTTTATTTTTTGTTTTCATTTCAGAAACATCCTGAGCTCCTGACGCCTCAGACGCTGCTGTTTCCTCCTCTCTGCTCCTGCTCTGACTTCACGCTCCTCTCTTCCCACCCAGGTGGAGGCAGTGGGATCGGGCGGGCGGTGTGCCAGCGTTTGGCCTCTGAGGGCGCCTCCGTGGTGGTCGCTGACATCAGCGAGGAGTCGGCCAATGAGACGCTGGGGAGTCTGCAGAGCAACCTCAGAGGGCAGGTCCACACGGCGGCTGTAGTGGACGTGTCGTCTAAAGAGAGCATCAAGAAGCTGGTAATGAGCGTGCAGGTGAGAACAACGCTCCTGCTGTGCGTTCGTCTTTTCCTCCTCCTCCTTCTTTAACATAAGCTCGTTCCTCCTGCAGACTCGGTACTTCCAGCCTCCCTCGGTGTGCGTGAACGCAGCCGGCATCACTCAGGATGACTTCCTGCTCAACATGGAGGAGGAGCAGTTTGATAAAGTCATCCAGATCAACCTGAAGGTAGGCGGCGCTGACACCTGGCAGCTTCTCCTCCATCTCACACTGCAGGCCGAGAGACGACTGAACACAGTTTAAAATGATGCGAACAGCAGAACAGTGACGGGCTGTTTATTTGTTTCCTGTTAGTGATTAAATCCACTCGAGCTCACAGGTAAAAAAATATTTGAATCCTGTGTTAGATCAGAGTGAAAGGATTCATTTTTCATTGTTCTCTCCCAGGGTTCATTCTTGATCACTCAGGCGGTCGCTCAGGCTCTGGTGGCCTGTGGAGCGCCCAAAGGATCCATCATTACTGTGGGCAGCATCGTGGGAAAGGTGAGATATGAGCAGGCGCGGTTTGGGTCACAGTTTTGTACAGAAACATAAAAAAATGAGTCAAAGTTGGAGATTTTTGTTCTTTAGTTTAATTTAAAGGGAGAAAATAAAATAACAAAAAGAATTAAAGACAGAAAAAAAATCTCATTGGTCATTATTCTGTTTACACACACAGAAGTAAAAAAACACCCGAACATAAACCTGTAGGCAGGCTTTGAGTTTACAGTCTGTATAAACTGCCCTGTTTATGTCTCTGGTTCCAAACCTGCACATTATTAATAAAACTCTGATTTTTTACTCTGAGAATGAAGCTGAGCTGACAGCAGACTGAAGTCTCAGCAGTGACTCGTCCTGCAGCTCCACTCTAGTCGAGATGCAGTCAGTGTCCTGTGAGACGATCGAGTCACGGCAGTTTCAGTGTCAGTTTATTTTCCTGCTTGACTTTTCTTTGAGTTTCTTCGCATCTGTTTAAAATTAATTGTATTTACATTTTATTTTTACATCTTAATTGATATATTTGTGTAAATAAAAGCTCCAACTCAGAATTGGATCTTGTGTTTGTGCTGGCTTCAGGTAAAAGTGCAGTGCATCATCCTGCAGATGATGTCTACTGAAGTTTTTGTTGCCTTGAAGTTTTCAAAGTAAAAGATGCATGAAAGATATTGTATTCCTGAAGCAGCTTTAAAAACCACTGCAGGTGTTCCTCTCTCTGCGGGTCCTTTATGGTTTATGTGGCCTTTATCTCATGTCTGTTGTGGTTGTTGTTTGCAGGTAGGAAACATCGGTCAGGCTAACTACGCTGCCTCTAAAGCTGGAGTCGAGGGTTTAACAAGGACCGCTGCCAAAGAGCTCAGCAGGTAAAACAAAGTGATGCAGCGACGCGCATGAGCTGACCGGAAACTCACCTGTGTCTCCGCCTCTCTCTCTCCAGGTTTGGGATTCGCTGTAACTGCGTGCTGCCAGGGTTCATTACGACTCCAATGACAGATAAAGTGCCAGAGAAGGTTATTAGCAAGGTACAACACGCACGCACGCACACACAGGTGCACACACGCACACAGACATCCACACAGACACACACAAACAGGTACCTGCTGAATGTGACGTGAATTTAGTTTTTTCCTTTTTTTAAAACATTTTCCTGGAGTCTGATCACAGCAGCGAGCTGTTAAACATCATAAAAACTCGTAAAAATATTGTGACTGAAACAAAGCTGCCAACATATTTATTTACTTCCTGCTCCTCAGTGAAGCTGCAGCCATGTTTGTGTTTCAGATCGAGTCCTTGGTGCCTCTGGGAAGGATGGGCGAGCCGGCGGGTCAGTTTCATATCACTGATGCTTTTCACTGTCACTCTTCATCCAGGACATCAGATTCATAGATGTGTCGTTCTGCTCCGGCCACACCGACACCAGCTGCGTTTAAATGAACACAAAGCTGTTGGATGAGTGGGATTTGTCCAAACATCTATATGGAACATGAGAACATCAGTGTTTCTGCATTTTAGAGTCATCAGCCACTTTAACGAGTGTTAAAATAGGACTGTGCTAGAAAACAGGAGTCACACTGAAACTGTCACACGCGGTGAAACAACCGTTCAAAATACAGACAAAATGCACTTTTTTGCGTTTTTCTCAGAGAATCACGAGAAACAGATCAAACATCTGTTTCTGTTACACTGCTTCATTAGGATGATGCAGTTTCAGAGTTGACACTGTGACACTCACAGCCGGGAAACAATGATTGACGAGTTGAACTTTTTCAAACAAATGTGTTTTTCAATTCTGAAACAAAAGTTTAGAGGGCTCAAAAATGCTGAAACAAATAATGCATATTAAAAAATGCATAATTTCAGCCCAGCTCTCTGACAGCTGTAACTCAGAAAATGTTGGTGGCATGAAGGTGAACGTTTGCATGGCCTCATAAAACAAACTAAAGTTAATTCATTAAAGAGATCAGCTGATCGGCTCTTTGTGTCCTCCAGAGGTCGCTGATGTCTGCGCCTTCCTCGCCTCGGACGACTCTCAGTACATCACCGGAGCCAGCATCGAAGTGACAGGTGCAGTTTCTCTATAAACTTTTCATTTCACATGACAAATGTTTTCAGTTTAACGAGAATACCAACACATCAGGACTCGTCTTTCTTTGTCAGGCGGACTTTTCATGGGTTAAATCAGCCGTCCGGCGAGCGCCCGACTGAAGACTGTGAGACTAGTTTCTACGTAATTATTATTTTTTGACTTGATTTTGATTGCGTGAATGTTTTTGTAATTTTGATGTGAACCTGTCACACGTTGTCTTAATAAACACTAGAATGTAATGTTGAATCTGAATGAAGCTTTAAAAAAGTTTTAACATGTTTGTGTGTTTTTGGGGCACAGCTGGGATTTGAACCAGATGCTTTTGAGTTTTTAGTGTCTCCACACCATCATCACCACCAGAGCCTCCTCAGGCTTCCTGTCTTCTCTGAGAAGGTTTACATAATAACTCTGGCTTTAAAAACATTGTTGGAGGTCAAAGGTCAGCACACACAGTTTGAACCTGAAGGCTGAGCGTCCTCAGATGTTGCAGGTGTTTAACTCTGAGCTGTGAGCCGAGGTGCTGGCAGGCCTTTCAGGGCTGTTTGTTTCATAATCGGAAGCATCTTTGCTCCATCTGTGCTGCAGTTTTTCTGTCTTTTATTGTTGAAACCACAGCAGTTTCCACTTTGAGTCGTCTTCAGCAGATGCTGTTTCTCAGCTAAACATGTGAGTTTGGAAACAGGACCCATAATCTCAAAGACGACGTAGCAGCACATTACATCCCCCTCTGAGTGACACAGCTGGGCTTGACTTGGTTTTAGAAGTTTAAATACAGCTGCTGAGAGGAGGAGAAAACAATAACGATGCCAAAATCTGTCTGCAAAACACTCGAGCAAAGAAAAACTGAGGTTTCCGTTTTTGTCTTTATAAAAAGTGAAGCTAGCAGCTCTCCAACAACCTGTCTTTTACTCACAAACGCATAAAATGTCTGAAAGCATTTTGAAATAATTATTTGCAGAGAACAAAGTTACGCTAACGAGGTTAACGAGTTAATCCCAGTTCTTTAAAAGTCTGTGACTAGTGATGAAACCGAACGGATGCTGATCTAGAGGAAAACAGGGGCATAATTTCAGAATGGCCACAAGATGTCGCTGTTTCACCTTCTAGTAACAAATAGAAACAGCAATCACTAAAGTAGACCATAATAAATATTTAATGGAGAACACATAAATAATTTGAAGTTAAGGATATTTTGTTATATTACCAATAAATAAATTAATATTGTCACCAATGCAGATTATGCTACTAAGGATTTGGGGAAAATACATTAAAGTAAGTCAAAAAACAAAACATGAAGCTGATCCAGAAGATAAATTAATTAAAAAACGCACAGAAATAAAAACATAATTACCAAGAAAACCTGTAGAGCTCTTTAAACTGCTAAATAATAAAGCATTTAAAATACATTATTAATAGACATTGTTCCCTATGTTGTTGCCTATGAACAAGTACTTTGACAAATAGCGACACCTTGTGGCCCTGTGTAGTAAAATCATGACAGCAGTTTGGAAGAAAAACAAGAGTCAAGCAGCTCTTTTTAAAAAGATTATATATTACAGAAACAAGAATTTAAAAAAATTACTTACAGACATTATAAAATACTTTTTTCTTTTTTCAGCACCATATTTTTATGTTGAAACGGCTTCAACACAATAAAAACAAACAAATAGTTGAGGTCATTCTCTCTGGAGGAGGGCAGATTTTTTTGGTTTTGGCTTTTTCGGTCATCCATCCTCCGGTTTCCTGCTATATATATTTAAAAAAGGACAAACAAATAAAACCAGAACCCCAGAATTAAATCGCCCCATCATTTTTCACTTTCCATCCCACAGTGGCGGACGACCTTCGCCCCCCTGCCTCTCTCACAGCCTCTCTCTCCCCCGTGGTGGTTCAGTATCTTTACCATCACAGCTCAGATCGATGCAGACTTTAAGTAAAAAGTTGTTCCGCGATTGCAAACCTGCAAAAGCCAACAAGTGAAACAGCAGCAAGGACAGGGACGTGACAGAGGTGGAGAGTCACCGTTTAATCATTACAGTGGAAGCAGGATGTAACAGCACAGTACAGTCGATGCAAACACTAAGACGGGATCTTACAGTAACGTGTGGCCACAGATTCTTATTTTTATTCCGTACAAAAGGAGTTTGAACAGGGCGGAGCACCGCGGTGAGTTTGACCTTCAAGTGTCAGCTGCAGGAAATAAATACAAACCACATGTGACTGAAATATTGGTTGGTTCTTGTTTTTTTAATCTCAAAGCACCCTGTTAGTTTTAAATAAATACAATAGAATATCACTATTTCTGTACAAATGGTATGTAATGCACATCTTCCCCAGGTACAAGCTTCATGAATTAGAAGAGACTACAGGAAGGAGTCGGAGTGGACACTACACCTTTGACACGTTTGTGTAATTAGCACCTTACCACACAGGTCAGTAAAAGCGTGCATTTTTATTTGCTGCTGCAGGAAAAACAGGAGGAATCTCTGAAGCTCTGACATGTTTAAACACTGATGGAAAACAACAAAGAGTCCAGACTCAGCAAACACCGGAGCGGCGTGGTGTTAGCGGCCTCGGTGAGGAGTGATTTAAAGAATCGGGTCTTTAAAAAAAAGGCACCAGCAGCATGCAAATACAACAGCACTGCATTTAGCACAGTTTACAAAATGAATGGCTTTGATTTCACTGATCACACGTCTCTCCTGCCTCGTGCATGCATCACATCGGCTCAGCGCGGTCTCGCTCCTCTCGGGTGGAGGAGGGATTGTCCTGCACCTCGCCACACGTTAACCTCGGTGCTCAGTTCCCTGTGTTTCTGCCGGTGTCGTTAATTCTTTGGTTCCTTAAAGTGTAAAAAGATCTGAATGTTACTCTGTAAACAGCATGGCTGAAGAGTCGCCCCTGATGACCTCACAAAGAGCCTCATCTACAGCTCAGGGGAACGTTTCTGACCTCTGGCTGTTCTTTTATGGTCACGTTTGTCTCCTGTTTTGCTTTCATGTGATTTTAACTGCATCACAGATAAAAGCGGCTGCACGGGAGCCTCTCACAGCCTGAACGACCGTCAGTCATGCTGCCTGCAGAGTGAATGTAGATTAGAGAAGTGGGAATGAGTGTGACCCGTTTCTGGGAGGAGATGTTGGATGGGGAGGTAGAGGGGCATCAGACCTCAGGTTGCCGGCTCGCTCTCAGGTCGGTGACGTTAAAGAAAACACTGTTTTATGTTGAAGAACGCTCCCTCCTGGCTTTATCTTCGTCTCGCGCGGCGGGTCGAAGGTCTCCTCTCCGCGAGTTTTTCAGATTTCTCTCCTCTTTTTTTTGTTTTTGTGACGTCCATTAACTGTTGGGAGGATGTTGGTTTCCCCGGGCACGCACTTTACTGTGAGCGCGTGTTTGTCTCACAACAACTGCATGTATATGTAAGTGTGTGTGTGTGTGTTTTATATCATTTACAAATTAATTTACAAATTACTGGGCATGAATGTTTTTTTCATATATAAGTGTGTCTCTAAGTGTGTGTGTGTTTGCATGTATTGTGTGTGTTTGTGTTCTTAGGCTTGGAAACAAACAGGTCCCACTTCAAAACCAAACTGCTGGTTTTTCTCCCCAAAGTCTGACACCTTGATATCCCGCAGAGGAAGATGCTCCAGCTGTGGCGTGCTGATCTCCAGGACTGTCCTGTCGAAGCCCTTACGATACTGAGGAGAGACACAGAGACACGCACGTCAGGAAACCACAAAATGAAAAAGGTTTATAAAGTCTGTGTAAGTTGGCACATTAGGCTGAAGTTAGAGCAGACGTGGTTCTTCTCCTTATATAAAACAAACTCTCCCGTTGTACCCGCTCAAAAACAAACAGCTAAACACTTCATAAAATCCTCTAAATGTTCCTCTTGTGTTTTGCAGCTACATGTGAAACCGTTTGTCATCATAGTGTAATTAGTGATCGTTCTCAAATTTAAATCAACCCCAAAGATCCCATAAAATGAAAACTGTCTGTTATTGATGAGGAACGTGACACAGTGTGCGGCTAAACTCTCGTGCTTTCTCCAACAGCTCAGTCACACGACATAAAACTCCAACCTCTTTGTGACAATAAGTAAAAAAGCGGCTGCTCTCAACTTATGATTGAATGTTTTTGATCTCAAAGCGACCGCCTGGTGTAAGGCGAACTGTCTCCAACCAATCACAGTCCAACTTGGACCGACTGCAGTCACTCTCAGACAGATTGGTGAAGGTTTGCCAATAATTTCTGCTTTATCTACAAACACAATTTGCTCAGATGCTGCAATTAACCTGAGTCAGTCTGCATCGATGAGCACAGCTTGTCTGTTTTGTGTTTCTTTGCAAACAGCAGACTCGACTTATCTGGTTGCATTTCTGGTTTAAACTATGCAAAAGTCTCGAGTCTGCTCTTATTTCTTCATGTTTGTCTCGTTGGAGTCAGACTATCTTTACATTTTTTTAAGTGGTCAAAGTTTTTCTTTGCACATCGTCTACTTTTTCATTTACTTTCAGTTCATCCTTGTACCTGAGCATTTTCAGAGGGAACAGGTCAGAGTTCATAGATCGGTGTTAAACCAGTTAAACATTCAATCGAGAATAAAAAAGGCACCTGACTCAGCATGAATCAGTGTTCTGTCTACAGAAAACAGACAACTCTAAGCAGTTTGTTCCATTTCTTTGGCTGAATCTATGAAAAATTAAAAAAATGACACACTTTAACAGACAGAAAATCGTATTTTGTGATTCTCCCAAAGAGCGACTAGTTGAAAACATATCTCAGCATGCTGTGCAGTGTGTCCTTAAAAAATCTGAGGAAACTGGACAAGATCAAAGTAGTGGTGCTAAAAAGTCCTAAAAAAACTATAGCAGCACCAAAGTTGCACAGAAGTTTTCAACTGACTGTGAGTTGTCGTAGACCTGCTCTCTGTCTGCAAAGCAACCATTTCCAAGGTAATGAGAGCGCAATCATTTAAAAACACTGTTTTTTCTAATGTGACTGCAACATCACAGAAAAAGAGGCAGCTTAATTTACTAGGACTGGATGAGGGTCAGACTAACTCTGGTCCATCATACATGGTTACGATGGTCCAGAGGAAAGATGTGACAGCTCCCCGTCACCTTCAGTAACACGGAGCCTTTAACAGGTCTGGATGTAGTTTTATGTGTGTGAACTCACAGAGCAGCCATCGATCAAGGCTTTGATGTACGGGTTGGTCTCATAGCTCAGCTCCTCGTCGTTGGCACCCAGGAAGTGCAGCGCCCT